TGACGGCTAAAGTTTCAAGATAGGCAAAGGTGATATGGAGGGGAGGAAAGATGTAGAGATGGGTTAAAGGAGAAGTGTTTATCATAAATGGAATTGGAACTAAATTAGAGAATATCGACACACATGTGGAATAAAAGCAGAGTGGGGAGAAACCGGACAAAGTGACCAAGATCACCCCATAAATAAGAAGTAATTGAGATTAGAAAAAGTACAAAGGTATCCTGAAGGAAAGTAGGAATTTTGCGATGGAACATCTATGTACTCTCTATAACTTGCTAGAAGCAAGGTTTGTGCCCTAAAATCAGAACTCTCGATTCTCTTAAGCAAAGGAAATGTCTCTATTCAACTAAAGATCCCAAACTTTATGGAAGGACTTTGGGGTGTCGTGTAACTGTGTGAGTTTATCCATTTCTATTGGACTTCACTATTGTAGCATAATTCCCTATTGGCATAGATATATCAAAGATATATTAATTCATGGTGAACATAACACACGTTTAGCACAAATTAATATATCTTTTTATTCATTTTCAGTTGATTTATTTTAACGGCACCTATATATTTTAATTTATTGTATTCTGTAGTGTTGAGGCAGTTTTTTTTGAAGGTGCTGCTACATATTAATATCCTTGTATGTGGTATAGAGCCATTTAGTTTTAGTATTGTAAGACGTAAAATACGCACAGAATTGACATTAGGTAGTCTGGAACAGTGTTTCAGGCTGGGTCATGAAGTGGTTATGGTGGTCTTAAACTTGCATTCCTCCCTTTGCTGTTATGGGACTTATTATATGGCATCTACAGGAGGAATCCCAGGAACAAAGTGTTTACCTGCATCAGGGCCAGATTAAGAGCCCAGTGGGCCTGGTGCTGACAATTATGATGGGGCCCAATTACAGAATCTTATCGACCAAAAATATTAAAACAGTCATACCTCCCAAGCGTCATGTATCTGATGGACATGGTGTTGGTGGGAAACTCAAAGGATACTCTATGCTTATCTCTTTATCTAATTTATGCTTTCATCTTTCAAGTTAATCCATACCCCCTAACAGCAGTGTCCAGTGAAGCAGGAATTCAATGGGCGGGGTAAAAGGAATCACGTGACCAGAATTGCCAAAAGGGCGAACATGCCCAAAAAGGGGGCATGTCTGTCCAAAGAATTGGAAGGCCAGCCTGGCATCAGTGTCCACAGTGTCAGTGTCCCCATGTCACCCAGTCCCCTAGTCTCACAGTGTCTCAGTGTCCTCATTTCTCCCTGTGTCCCCATGTCTCAGTGTTTCCAGTGTCACTAGGATACTAGGGGACACTGCGACACCAGGGGGGACTGAAACACTTGGGGACACTGGGAGACATGGGGGCACCTGTGGATACAGACATGGGGACACAGACACTGGGAGACATGGGGACACTGAGACAATAGGGACACTGGCTGGGAGGCATGGGGACACTGAGACACTAGGGGACACTGGGAGACATGGGGGCACTGGTGGACATAGACATGGGGACACTGAAAAATGTTGGGACACTGGGAGACATGGGGACACTGAGAAACTAGGGACATTAGCTGGGAGACATGGGCACTGGGAGACAGATATTTGGGGACACTGAGAGACATGGAGACACAGACACTGGGAGTCTAGGGGACACTGGGAGCAATGGGAACACTGGCTGGGAGACATGGAGACACTGTGTCCCTAGTGTCTCCATGTCCCAATGTGTCTCACAGCGTCCCCATGTTTCTCAGCGTCCCCTAGTGTCTCAGTGTCCCCATGTTTCCCTGCTGCCTTTCCCCCCCATCCCTTACTTCCCTAAGCTGTAGTCTGTCTCTGCAGACTGGGAGCTGCTGTCTGAACTCTCTGTGCTGTGTAGCTGCTCTACCCCGGATCAGTGAGTAGAGATAGGCAGTAAGGGATATGCTCTAAATTCCTATCCCTGCCTCTCTCCACACACAGTGACCCTTACTGGCCGGTGCTGGTACTGCAGAGTAATCTCCGTTTACACTGAGAAAAATATCTGCATTTGTATTGCCGGTATTGCTGCAATACCGACACGGCTAGGCGCACCTACAAATACCGGCTGTGTTGGTAAAATACCAGTCAGGTGGCAAACCCAAGAGTAGTATGTATAAAAAAAAAAAAGAAAAGAAAAGAAAAAAAAAAATTTTTAAATCTTTTTTAATTTTATTTTTGAAATGGGCCTATACCATGGGCCTGGGCCTGGGCCTGGAACTGCAGCTCCATCAGCCCCTATGTTAATACGGCCCTGACCTGCATGCTCAGTTACTTCCAGTAAAGATTTTTTTTTTTTTTGTAATTTCCATAGTACAAGTCAAAATTGCAGTCTGTCTGCTTTATTTAATAAATATCCTTCATGTGGATGTTTCTCTCATCTAGCTACATGTCTTGTCCAATTGCAAACGAGTAAAAATGAAAACTACAACTGTTTTCTGTCAAAGTTATCATCTGATATGGAAGGAAGTTGATTTAACCCTCCTGGAATTTATGGGAAAAAATGTACTTTTGTAAAATGAATGTTATATATACTCCCAAAGCACTGAAGGGAGCTCTAAACAAAAACGTGACCTTAAACATGTATAGTAATGAAAGCATTTTTGTATGTTGTGGGAAGAAAAAAACAAACCTACACATTAACATTAAATTTCTTACCTGTTTTTTTTTTTTTTTTTTTTAAAGAAGAGGGCTGCAGAAATCTATTTGCTTAGATCTTTTTTATTTTTTATTTGTGCTCTTAAATGTGAAGTGTTTACTTGGATAACTAAGTGTGTTTTAAACTACTATCTAGAACATTATTTGTTATGTAACATACATTGCAGGATTGTGTGCAGGTTACCATGCAAAAGTCTCCATGTTTCTTTTGCAGGATGTATAGAGACAACTATACCAATCAATAGCAGAAACTGTACCAAGATCTTACAAGATTGTCTGTACCTATGTGACCACCACAAGTTTATTCTACAAACTGAAGAGAGATATAAAAATGAGTTAAAGAAATTGCTTTACAGCAGCCGGACTTCAGTGTTTCACAACAGTAATAAAAAACATACATTTTCCTAGGTTTACTTATTATGACTATATATATATATATATATATTATCATTGGAAAATAGCTTTAACTTACGGACACAGTAAATGATACTAGTTTATGTGCAGGGGGTTTTCCCCCATCATCTCAGTTTAGCTGCATTATTTATCAACATGTGACTAGCCGAACTGAATACATATATACGTGACTGGAAAATATTTTCTAAATTTTGGTGTAGTTTGATATTCACTTTGAATTCCCAACAATGCAGTCTTTGCTGAAAAGCAAACTTGACGCTAAAAATACTCCACTTATTTGGGGAGTTTCCAAATCAGATATTATTGCTAAAATTAAAAATGTGTTTTCTCTTAACAAGACCCTAGAGTCACAAGAACCACTAAAGCTTATTGTAGTGGTTCTGGTGTCTATAGCCTGTCCCTGAAGGCTGAGCACCTCAAACGCTGTATTTTCATTGCTGCCTTGTAACAACTATAGGTGCAACCATGGAGGAGGAGCCGGAAACAGTGAGACTGGCATGGCATGTGAAAAAAGGTGAGTTAAAAACACATCTCATCCAATCTATTGGAAGGCAGGAACCAAAATACTTTTGATACTCAATTTTATATGAATGGAAAGTATTGTTCCCGTAGTTAGCACTCACCCCAAAACATTTGCAAGTATGTAATGGAAACAAGTATGCATTCTACCTAAAACTTTTTTTTTCCCACCAAGTCAAAGAAAAAGTAGCAAGTATATTATTGATCTTCTAAACACAATCTTGCATTGTTTTCCTTTCATAGCTTTCTTGTTTTAAGAATTGTTCTACATTCTCCTGTGCTATTAGAATCCAATGTTTTTTTTATACACTAATAACCCTACAGAGCAATAGTTTACCTGTATAGCCAGCAATCTTGTAACATATGAACGCTATGATGAGGTGGAGAGGTTTGTTTGACAATTAGCTGACTGCAGGAAATCCACACATCTGTAATGAGGTCAAGACCTTTCTGCAGTGTCACTGGTTATCACTGAAAATGAAAACACATTTGAGCTATATCTCCTTCTGTACAGTTTCACATCTCTTCATCTCTTCTATTCCACTGTCTAGGAACACAACTTCGCATATTTATATCACCTATGATCCAATCTCTACACTAACTGGCTTTTAAATATTTTACAGCAATGTTGACTCCACATAAAAAAGGGGGGAAGAGCTACCAGTTGTTTCTTCTGGATAAACAAATTACTAATTGTGAGTACAGAATAACTATGCTTAAGTTCTACTAAACTCATTTTAATAAAGATCTGTGTGTCTGGCCATCTCAGTGTAGTGGCAGATATGACCCATTTGTTAGTTGTAAGCCTCAACAGAAAAGCAAATATGTTAGTGGATGAACAGAAGTTCACCTGCTTAGCAATAACACATCTTCTCTGCACATGAGGTATGTATCTGAAGTGGGCCCTTAGTTGAAAAAGTATCCTAAAACTCCAGTCTGCATAATAAAGGTATATAAATGCGAACTTACACTGTCTCCCATGCTTTGAGAAAATGGATTGGAAATTCTCTAGTTAATATGTAACCAGCCATGGTGATGATTTACAAAAAAAATTAAAATAATAATAAATTCAATAAAGGCTTAATTTCCAAGTCTGTAGATCCCATCTCATGTTGAAGGTATTTGGTTCCAAAGAGGTCTGCTTTTTTAAAAGGTTGGCCTTGTTCACTTGTAGGGTGATCAATCTAGAAAATTAGGGATTATTCTAGCCTCGGTGAGGGAATAATCTAAATTTTATTAAAGACAGGAGGCGAATATTTGCTTTACCTTCTTTACTGAAACCTCCAGCAGCAAAGAAACAGTTAACAGAACTTTTCAAAACAACCAATCAGAACAAAGCAACAGTAGTATAAAACCCCTAAGCAGGCTCTTCCACTTCCTCTTTCTTTGATGAGGTCGAGCAGGAGAGCAAGGAAACCAACGAATCCACCTTGTAGCAGACACATCCAGAGAAACAATCGTCAAGCCCAGAGAGAAAACAGATTACACTGCAAGAAAACAGAAAACATTGTGAAAGTAAACTGTCAAGGCAAGATGTCATATCCATACAATATCACTTTCACATCAAATACCTGATGAATAAACAATGTCTACAGATCTTATGAAGACCTAGTATGTACCTAAGCTAAAAGGCATTGACGAAACATAAATACAACACAAACATGATGAATAAAACGCACAAACATGATGAATAAAACCATCACTGAATATTAGAAATAACCTTTATTATGTAAAACCATGCATTCACAAAACATAACAATATCCCCAATTATTTATAATAGAATAAAACCCAGATCCAGGGAGGGAACGTAACAAAAGGGGGGGGGAAATATTCGCCTCCTGTCTTTAATAAAATTTAGATTATTCCCTCACCGAGGCTAGAATAATCCCTAATTTTATGGCAGGACAGGAGGCTTCATATTTGCAATTTTAACGCCCAAATAGTAGAACCAGAAGCAATATGAGATAGAGGACTGAAATAAAGGAGAATGGAAAAACTGATTCCCTAAACCAAGCAGCGGTGTAGAGAAAATGCAGAAGGGACCCAACGGCTTCCAAAATTGTTGAGGTGACAGCACCCCGAACCAAAAGTGTCCCAGAGGAACTCAAGGTCAGTCAATGAGAGGATCCACCAAATCCAACGGGCGAGCGAAGATGCAGAAACAGTCCAAAACGGCCGTACGCAGAAATAAGCAGCTGTCCATGAGTAGACGGACGAAAGAACCAGATCCTGGATCTACATGGTCGTGTACAATCTGTCAACAGAGCTGTGGCCTATCCGGAGAATAGGGGTACGACACAGAGGACGAATAAAAATGAAATATGTGTTGTGCAGAAGCCGATGTACTGAACGGCAATAAGGAAAAAGACACGTCGATACCATGACGTCAGAACGCGATGAAATACAAGATGTACTGGGGGGAAACCGTAAGCGGAAAAAACTGTCGAGAGATAGGGCTCCCGTACGGTATACTCCTCTTGGTAGACTGCAGACCAAGAGATCCTTAGCAATGCCAGAATCTTGAGAAAACGCACATGAGTCGTCCACTAGCTGACATAGGACGTGAATGGCCCCATACGATCCTACCCTGAGAGGGCAACTCAGCCAGACAATGGGGACAGCCATGATAAGGACCGCCGTTGGGACCCAAACACAAGTCGTGGCAGGCTACCCCTGTGGATCCCACGTGGGACATTAAGAGACAGGGAGTCGTAGATTGCCTTCCCAGGGCAAACTCCAGCAAAAAGGGGAAAGCATGCAGGACTCCTCCGAAGTGGTTTGGCCAGGCGAAACGACACTTCCAGGAATTCGGTCTGAAGCAAAACCCAAAGTATCCTGTAGGTAAACGGGATGCGTACGCCCGAAGGAGACCAAGCTTGGAAAACTCGTCCCTCGCCTCGCTGAGGGTCCGGCAGCCAGTTGGAGAACCGCTCCATATGGCGGTTCGCACCGAATGTAATCATGCCAGTACTCGAGACCCTGGAGGGTGAGGCAACCAATCATTGGGGTCTCTCCATGGCCGGGTGAAGCCGTCCGCCACACAAGTGTCTCATCCCGCATACATTCTGTCACAAATGACGAATACTTGTCCAGAAGCTATAGATAGCGATCCTATGTGAGATCCGACTGCAGTCCGTAGTGGGCAACCGGTGAGAAGTCCATGCCGGAAGGTAGCGAGCAATACTGTGAATGTTGAACAAACCTGCAGGTAGTTCCATGCAGTTGGCGTAAAGGAGTCCCTCCTCCGGAGTCATCAATTAAGTCTTAGATGAGCTTCATCCGAAGGTCACATGATTTGGTCATACCAGGCCAAAGACCCGAGAAAGCGCCATGTTGGAGCGGCTGATAGTACCGGATCCTTGAGGTATGGCTTCCATGGCGAATAGGCACCGGTCAATTAACCGGGTTGGGCCCCTAAGTGTAACCCGCAGGTTGCGAAGCATATACCTGGTATTTTCATTGAAGACGGACATCTTGGTCCTCGGGAGGCGGAGCACCGCCTGGACCGAATATTCCATGAAAGACCGGAAACTGGGTTGACTTGGAGTGAGTCAGATTCAATATGTCCATGTTGATGGCAAAATCCATGCGGGTTTCTCTCATGTGCATTTGAGGGAGAGAACCAATCGTCAATGCCGAGCAGCTCTCAGAGGGGATGAGTGCCCTCCGTCTCAAAATGTGTCAACAGACGACATGCACTGGGAGCATGTAGCGTGGGGATGGGGCGGGAGTCCACTCCACCGCACCCTTTGCCCAGCAGGGCAACTGCGGAATGAGTCGGAATGGATGCCTCTTTTGGTCATGCGTATCGCTCATGGAACGGTCCAAGGTTCCGCAACCTTGATCTGGAGTCCGGGCACGGCCAGAGAGACCTCTGGGGCTAGTTAAGGGGGAACCCTATGAATAGAGACATGTCGGCTCAATTTGTACACAAGGGTAACTCCGGAGAGCAGACCCAGCACTTGGATGCTAAATCCATCAGTTTGATGTCCAGCTTGGACAGGGGCCGTTTTGCGGTTCTCAGGGGTAGAAACCAACTAGGCGATACCTATAAGTCATATCGGTCCATTCCCAGTGGGAATTTAGTCTTCTCCGCTTTCCAAGCGGTAACGTGCCGTTCGTCCCAAGGAAACATCTGTGTCCGCGTGTCACCGACATCCACTGGTTAGTCCCAGGTAGAGTGCAAACCCCGTGTCAGGTGTTTGCGGTGTCCTTTCCGGACTCCGTCATGAAGACCGATCCTCTTGATGAATCCATCCGTTAGCCAATGAGTACCAGGGGTGCTTGGTGTACGTCTAGGAAGGCCGGTGGAGTGTCCCCGTAGGGCACCGATGGTTTCTGGTAGTGAGGTCAGCGGGGCGGCAAGAGGACAGGCCAAGTGACCTTCTGGGTACGGGAGATTTGTCCATCAGCCGTGATTGCACAAATGATACCTGGTGCGGCCAGCTGGGGGTCACCCAGTGTGCAAGAGGGGGTCACCCAACAAGCACAAGCATACCATGCAGTATAGGCCAGCAGGGGAGGGGGTCACCCTCAGTCTGAACATAATCGGACACTGTAGGTACAGTGGTGCGGCCAGCTGGGGGTCACCCAGCGTGCAAGAGGGGGTCACCCAACAAGCACAAGCATACCATGCAGTTTAGGCCAGCAGGGGAGGGGGTCACCCTCAGTCTGAACATAATCGGACACTGTAGGTACAGTGGTGCGGCCAGCTGGGGGTCACCCAGCGTGCAAGAGGGGGTCACCCAACAAGCACAAGCATACCATGCAGTTTAGGCCAGCAGGGGAGGGGGTCACCCTCAGTCTGAACATAATCTGACACTGTAGGTACAGTAGTGCCGAAGTGGTTAGCCGTATAATAAAGTAACCAAACATTGCCGGTCCAGCAGTGTAGAAGGCAGGAGGGGGTCACCCTCATATAACCAGAACCGGGCATTGCAGATCCAGCAGTGCTGTAGGTAAGAGGGGGTCACCCTCAGTGTGGTATCATAGAGGTCTGTACACCCAGCAGTGTAGTCAGCGAGGGGGGGGGTCACCCTCATTATGGTTATAACGGGACCCTGTAGGTCCAGCAGAGTAGTCCACAGGAGGGGGTCACCCTCAGTATCTGCGTATTGCAGGGCACTGTAAGAACAGAAGCTCAATCAGTGGGAGGGGTACCCTCTTTTATGGGAATACCCGGACGCTGCAGGTCCAGCAGTGCAGACTGCAGGAGGGGTACCCCCTCGGTATGATAATAGCAGGACATTGCCGGAGCATTAGTATAGGAAGCAGGAGGGGGTCACCCTCAGCATTTATCTTACAGGACGCTGTAGAGCCAGCAGGGTACTCATAGGTAGCCATGTTGCCAGAGGGATCACCCAGCCCACAATGGTGTCACACGTCCATTATTATGGTCCAGTAGCCCCGCTGAGGGGTAGGAGGGTCCATATAGCGAGAAGCTGACTCACAGACCACTCAGGTATTATATTAGGATACACTTTTGAAGTGTATGTGTAGTGGAAAATTTAAGTCCCTTGCAGGAAGGGCAGCAAATCCTAGGCAGGGGAGCTAGGTGCTGAAAAACAGGCCATTTAATTTTTATGAGAAAAAGACTGAACCTTAGAGGAAGACTTGATTAGCATATAACACATGTGGCACATTCTTGTTAAACAAAGATTTTTATTTGAGCAGTAACATGTCCCTTTAAATCTGAGATTCACATGTAATTGTAAAAAAAAAAAAAAATGTGACAAGTCTACTGCTAAGATAGAGAACCTAGTCACATTGCATCAGACATAGTAAGCTGCAGTTATGAGCGTGCCTGGGACAGATCCTGCTATCCAGGATCTGTTACATATGCAGCATGTGAGACAGGCACAGTAAGTAGAGGGATAGCTGAAAAACTTGGCTATCTCCCTTGATATAGGGAGAGAAGAGGGTGGCCACATGGCCAGCAGGCCAGTTCTTGGGTGAGACCTGGCTGTTCGCAACGCACAGAGCCCATGAGGCTCTGAAAAATGGCCGCCACGGCTCCAACAAAATGGCTGCCGTGGCTGCAAAAACAGAGCGCGGCCTACTGCGTGGTGATCGTGCGGCACTGTAAGCGGCCAGGGGCCACGGGGAGCAGGTGGGGAATAGGGGAGAAGGGTATGGGCGACAGAGCCCAGCAGGGGAACCCGGGGAGGGGAGGGGGAACAGATTACAGGCAGAGCCAAAGCATCATAGCAGGGGCACCCATTCCCCATACAGCAGAGTGAGAAAACAGAATAAAGTAACCCAGAATAACAATAAATCAATGAGCAGTATACAGAATCTATCAGATAAATAGCCTCAATACAGCAACAGATGTTAACAAGTGATACAGCAGCTACATAGCATGAAGTGGTATAGGAAATAACACAAAATAAACTGCCTAGCTAAACACAGCAATAGACTGCCTAGATAGACTGCCTAGATAAACACAGCAATAGACTGCCTAGATAAATCCAGCAATAGACTGCCTAGCTAAACACAGCCATAGACTGCCTAGCTAAATCCAGCAAGAACCCTGCCTAAATAAAACCAGCAATTAAGCTGCCTAAACAAACCTAGCAAATAGACTGATTAAATAGACTGTTTAAATAAACAAGCAGCATGTAGGATAAAACAAAAACCAAGAGCAGAGACAACTCTGAGTTGGTGAGTGCTCACCTGGAGGCAGCAGCAAAGAAAGAGGAAGTGGAAGAGCCTGCTTAGGGGTTTTATACTACTGTTGCTTTGTTCTGATTGGTTGTTTTGAAAAGTTCTGTTAACTGTTTCTTTGCTGCTGGAGGTTTCAGTAAAGAAGGTAAAGCAAATATGAAGCCTCCTGTCCTGCCATAAAATTATATCTATATCTGGATTTTTTGCAAAAAGTGTTTATCTTCCCTTTCCCCCAAAAAAACAAAAACAAAACATGAATATCAATTGCAAACTCTGCTTATGCTTCATGTTTGTCATTACAAATAAATGCATGATCGTTTGGTATTCTTGGTAATTATTTGTAACTGAAAGGAGAAAAAAACTTAACCATTTCAGCTGATAAAGTTAAGTGATACAAATATTGTACATGCTTTACAGGTAGCTTATTAACCCCTATTAAGAAAGCAAAGCATTTAACACATGGAACTGAAACTCCACATAACAAGAATGAGAAGTCAGGCTGTTTTCCAAAAAGTAAGTTCTTTTGAAAATATAGGTATAATTCAGAGTGCGTATTTAAATGTCTGGATATTACACCATTGAAGAAAAAAACACCTTTAAATCACCTAGAACTTGTGATGCTTCATTTTTATTTTAAATGTACCTTAAATATAGCAATAGACATCACAATCCAGTTCACTGCACACATTTACTTTTGTTTTTCGTCATGCACTTGGATGAATAAGGATGGTCCTTATTTTACCTTTTTATTTCAATGGCAGAAAATGGCGGAGCTAAAACAGTGATTGGCAGAGAGCCAAGATGGAGGAGATGAGTTCCAGGATATAAGTAAACACATTTCTACATTTACCCCTACATTTAATTTTATCTTCAGATATAAGTAAATATAATAATAATTATCCTGGGATGCAATAGTTTCCCTTTAATTGTATTAATTAAAACAGGATATTCAGTACCATGATCTTTTTGCTGAATCATTGTTTCGAAGATGTTTGATTTTAATGTATGGATTTTATCTTTGCAAATCCCACTTAACATACTCCATTTTCTTGTCCCCCTAAACCTTTCTGAACCTGATCAGCTGGTTCTCCTGTAAAGGAATACATTCATGCGGCAGAATAGTCATGAAGATGCTGCAGAACCAATAATTTTAGATGTTTACTCCCACTGACACTTGTTATCACAAGCTGTCATTTTTTTTTTCCATATAGATTTAGTAGTTTGTAAACTAAACCGTTGAATTATTGACAATTAACATAATTCATCACTGTTTAGTGAATCCGCACTCATTGAGGCAAACATTTTGTAACCACAGTCCAGTAGGTCTAATTTAATCAGTATACTGAGCTGTAAAATGTGGGATTTAGATAGTGGCCATTCCTCTTGGGATAAAAAAAGTAACACAATATATAGATGTATATATAAACTTGTATGATCTGTCTGTCATGGACATCTACATTACTAATGGAGAAGTTTCTCCCACATGTACTAAAGTGTTGAATACTTGTTCTCATGAAATCATTTGAACTCAACATTTCCTTCCCAAACCACCATATTTCTTGCGAGATGGCAGCAGAATTCCTAACTCCACAAGTTCCTCCATCATTTTACAGGGTCTGATGCATTTCACCATGCCTTTTACTCATTAGGTGATGAGAACACAATGCCATTGAAATTTTCTTATGCGAGGATCTCATGTGATGTACATACAGCTGCTTCAGTAGCACATCATGAGACTGCAACCCCCATAAACAAGCAGGTAGATACATTGCTTATAAACAAGCAGATGTTCTAGATTACACCTGTTTTTTTTTCAAGCTTTTTTTCTTCTGTTTTATTTATTTTTGTTTTTTTAGCACAATCTTATAATTTAGTGAATTTAATTTGCAATTCAAATAATTTGCGGGTAACTTCAGAGGTGTATTTTGGTTTTGTGTTGCCCTAAGCATGAGTAAACTGGGTCACTCCTAATCTAAATTTTACCCCTCTCCTTCCTGTTTAAGACCCACCGCTTCCTCTTAGAATTCCAGCTCTTCGAACCTCATCCTATTAAGCAAACACACTCACTGACCCACTCACTGACAGAACATGCCCTTACTGATACACTGCCTGACACAAACAGTCATTGGCTCACACACTGTTTAACCAGACACACAATTTCACTGACTGACACACCCACTCACTAACCAAAGAGTTGGCAAAGAAGCTGTAATCTTCTTGCTATGATCCCTCTCATGCTATTTTGTGATGCCGTGGCCTGAGTGACGTCTTGTTTCAGCTCCCAGCATCACAGCAGGACATGTGAAGGTGTAGAGCAAGAAGAGAACAGCTCCCTTGCCGCCACCATTGTGTACCCACCCTCCACTAAGTTGACATTATTTTTGCATTTCACTGGTCTACTTCTGTCTAGTGAATAACCCAGTGTACATTGATGGGAATGTACTAGGGAATTGTATGTCTTAGGCCCCCATTTTATGCAATAGTTATTTTAAAAATGTCTTCTAATATTTTATTGGGTAAAAACATTATAGGGAACCGTAACCACACAGGAATGTCTTAAAAGCAGAAATGGTTTATTTTCTGACTTTCCACTTCATAAAAACCAGCATATAGGTTGTTAGGGTTACTAACAGAAAAAGCATATATTTTGGTGTATAAATCCAGCAATTTACAGTAATTCTCTTGGGTATAGCCTAAGAATGGATTTAGAACATGTATTTGAAGGGCTAAGCAGCTAACAGGTTAAACATGCTAAGCGTGTTAGATATTCAACTGCTTTTTTTTTCTTTTTTTTCTTTTTTTTAATTTGGGGTACTTTGCATTACTGAGCACAGATACATTGTATATAACAATAGGCTATGTAGCAGAAACCATCAAAAAAATTAATTTTCTAAACATTAGCTGAGTTGTTTTTTTTTTGCCTCTGCATTCCCTGAAATAGTTGGAAGCTTTGTTAATGGAAATCAATTTTAAGCAAGTGCAGAAGTTCGCAGTTTGGATCATGGATCACCACATTACAGCTCTAGCAGCAATACAAATAATTTAACGGTTTGTGCTTATAGTGCCAAGACTTGTGCTGCTTAAAATCAATTTCCCTTAGATGTTAACGAGAAGAACCTGTAATATTATTAATGGAAAAGTTTCTTCAATAATGAAATCCGATGCAGACCAGGGCTAC